TTCCAGGAAATTCATGGATATGGAAGGTAAAATACCGTTTAAAATGTCTTTGACGCAATATGGGGTAAGTTTATTCAAAAATATCCGAGTTTTTAGACTGCGGGAAGTTAGCCCCCCATTTTTTGATTTTTTAATTTTTATTGTTGTTCTAGAGTTGTTCTACATTGTTCCAAAGGGGCAAATCGAAAAAATAAAAACTCCGCGAGAAAACAGGTTTTTTGACTAGCCCCCCATTTTTGGAAAAATCAAATTTTCTTAGTTGTTCTAGTTATTGTTCTAGAAAATCAAAATTATGGAATACAGCATTACGAAGTTATAACTAAAAATAGGTTTGGCTGCTGAAATGTCTAGTTGATTGCTGTGACCATAGTTTTTCTATTATCAATTCCATATTACAAATTATTTTTACTAGAACAACTCTCTAAAGGGCACTTTACTCTTTGAAAATGAAAGTTTTTGGAAGTTTCAGTCAGTAATTCTTGTGACAGCGGTTTTATATTACACAATAAGAATTAAAAAACATAACCCAATCTAAAATAACTCAAACTTTGCTGATTCAAATTGTTCTAGATGTGTTTTGCGTTTAACACGGACATTAATTTTGCAAAATCACATATTTTTTGTTGCTTTAAATTGTTCTTGTTGTTCTAGGTGCTTAAAATGTTTATTTAATCACTGCGGCATTAGTTCTTTTAAACTTTCATATTAAAAATTAGTACTTATAACAATTAAAACAATTCAGAACAGCTGTTATTTTCACTAGAAAAACCTTAAATTTCAGTTGTTGTAACAGTAAAACATAAGATGCGATTTAAAGTGTATTTTATTTTGTATAAACTAAGTAATAAATTAATAAATAAACTAAACTAACAAATATTACAATAACTATTCGATCAGTATTACTATATCAGTACAATAACTTATTCTAAGGTAAACTATAACTAAATAATAGTTATTTATATTACAAGTGGGCTAGAAACATAATTACTGTACGAGTGTGGAGAATTTAATCACACGAGTACTGTAATTATGCTCTAGCCCACGTGTGATATACAGCATTTTATCTACGACTGCTAAAAATTACTAAAAAAATCAATTTCTTAAGAAAAGTCTATTTGACATTTATAAAAAAATATTTTGAAATGATTGTTGACAATTTTGAATTGTCAGTTTCAACAACATGTTTACTCATCTGGAATAAGTGTTTTGAAATGTAAAAATATACCAATTAATGTTATAATAAATAGTATTGTTTCTCTGTAAGTAGATAGCACTTTTTCTGTTGTATTGTTGCTCGTTTCAATAAATTAAGTCTGTTCTGATTAGGCTAAAAATGCGTTACGTAATGAAACCAGTGCGGTAATGAACTTCATTACGTAACTCAAATGAGTGCGGTAATGATGACTTATCCAAGCAGTCGTAGATAAACTAAATTATGTAACTAAACTAATATTATGGAATAATACGGTTACATCAGTTTGCTCATTTATAAACATATATGCACATTCGTGCATTTATTTCAGTAGCTTTTTCAACTTGTACGGTTTTTTTTCGTAAATCATTAAATAATATCGAATTGGCATTGTTGGGCACAAATGCTGGGTAGTGTCCTACATCATTCAAAGATTCAAAGACAAATTGCGTGCGTAATCACTCAATTTTGTTTTATTGTTCTCTCCATTCGTTGTTTCTATAAACACACAACATTTTTTGCAATTGTTGCTTAGAGTTTGCATGTAGTTTTCTATTACTTGCTTTAGCTGTGCATAGCCAAATATTGTTACGATGTCAATGTCGATTGGTAAAATTATGTTTTTATGGAAAGTAACGTTTAAACAATTATTGCAGTTTTTAATCCTACAATAACTAAATTCTTCTTTAAATAGTTGTGTGCAAAGAAACGCAATATTTGAAAAAGCATTCACTATTATCACGCCAGCAATATTCTGGCTTCCAAAATAATTTATTCCTGTTAATAGTTCAGCTCTTTTTTTATATGTTGTTTTACTAGAACCGGTTTTTAAAAATAATTTTAGGAAATTAAAGCAATCTGTGCAAACATTCTCAACATGATTTCTAAATGAATTGTGTGAATCCGCAAGTATTTTGAAAAGTATATTTTTTATTGTAATAGATATTAATGAAACTTACTTATGAAAGAATTACTAACTGAAATTTGATTTTTCCAAAAAAAATTCCGTTTTTCGGTTTTCTCGCGGAGTTCTTATTTTTTCGATTTGCCGCTTTGGAACAATGTAGAACAACAATAAAAAATTTAAAAATCAAAAAATGGGGGGCTAACTTCCTGCACTCGAGTTTTTATTAATTTTTTATCTTTTTATAGGTTGGATGAACTTTCCGGTTGAAACGACCACTAATCCTTAAATTGATGACTTTTAGTGTCTCTCCTGGAAGAAAATAAAAGTGAGCAACCTCAAAGATCATGATGTAAAGGCACAAAATAGGTGATGAGAGGTAGGGAGTTGAACGAGGACACTAAATAGAAGAGTATTAGTATTGGGAATGCAGCACCCTGTCTGATTGATGTACATTTTAATTATTTTATTGTATTGTACTTGATAGATCTCAAATAAACGATGAAAATTCCTCTTGATGTTGTATCAAATTTTGAAAAATCATAAGCGACATCTGTTATTTAACAACAAAAACATTGATAGTTAGATTGCGAACCAATTCTTTACGGGTTCGTAACTCGGCTAAACAAAAACGTACCAGTGATCCAACTAAAATTGATTAAACCATCCCAAAATAACTTTTAAAGGACACCAGCGACATCTCTTTTTCATTAGTGAAACTAGTCAAGTTACCAACGAATTTTTTGAGGGTTCGAAACTCGGCTAAATAAAAAATTATACCGGGTGATCCAAATAAAATGAATTAAAACGCGTTTTTCTCGCAAAAATTTCTCTATATTTGGATCACCCGGTATAATTTTTTTCTTAGCGGAGAAGCAAACCATCAAAAAATAATTTTTAAATGACCACTAGCGCCATCTCTTTTTCATTCGTGAAATTAGTCACGTTACCAACGAATTTTTTGAAGGTTCGAAACTTGGCTAAGTAAAAAATTATACCGGGTGATCCAAATAAAATTTATTTAATCGCGTTTTTCTCGCAAAAATTTCTCTATATTTGGATCACCCGGTATAATTTTTTGCTTAGCGGAGAAGCAAACCATCTCAAAATAATTTTTTAAATGACCACTAGCGCCATCTTCTTTTCATTGGTGAAACTAGTCAAGTTACCAACGAATTTTTTGAAGGTTCGAAACTCGGCTAAGTAAAAAATTATACCGGGTGATCCAAATAAAATGAATTAAAACGGGATTTTCTCGCAAAATGTTCTTTTTATTTGAATCACCCGGTATAATTTTTTACTTAGCCGAGAAGCAA